ATCTTCAAATCCGCTGGCATGGATGGGTCTTCCACTGCTATCACAAGCATTGGGCTTTCTTGGGGATGTTAATTTATCCTACCCCAAATCATCTTCTCTGACATAGGGGTATTGTTGTTGACTTAAGTGACATGTAAATCAACAGATGCAGTAACACTTACCGGAATTTGGCCTTTGTTTTATCGAAGTTAACTACACACTTCCTCAGTAGTAAGTAGTCCAACCCTATAATGCATTGGTCTTCAATGTCAGCCAAGTATGCTTTGTGTCTGTCCTTCAATCCCATGAGCTCAATATTTACCCACACTGGTCCACACAACCTTGCATAATGTCCAGACACACCACAGAGCTTCCGTATGGCTTCTGGTACTCTTTGTGATCTAGCACCTTGATACTCACAATGGTTTGCTGAGATGCAGAATCTATGGCCGTCCAGCTTTCCTGTCACATAGACACCATGTGTACTTGCCATTTTACACCTAGCTGTTGGGACTTTCACGATGAGGTTTGGTGGGCGTACCTCAACACCAACCACTACTGGTTTCCCGAAGCTGACTTATTTGTAGTATTCTTCTTATACTGGCTCCTCATATGTCCTTGTTCTCCACATTTCCAACAACCTTTGTGGGTAGCAGCCTCTCCTGCTGTGGCATCTTCCTAGTGTTGAAGTTGCCGGCATTGAGCTCTCTTGTGCAAAGTCCGTCCCACTTTCTGACATCAATTTGTTGCATATCTGCTCGTTTGTTAATTTCCGGTGTAAATTCTTTCGAGGAACTTCAGCGATACAAGTCCTTCCATAAATAGAACAAGCTTATTCTTTCTCAATATAACTTTGCAATACACTTAATTTTCACAGTCACTTTAACTTAAACACATGCTATAATTCGCAACGATTCATGTACTTTACTTATGGTCACTACCGCTTGCTTGACTCAATTATCTGTCTCTATATCTGTCTATCTGCAATTATTTCTCCGCTTTATTTGCCGGGCTTATATACAAAAAAGAGGGCACCTAGAAAAGACTAGAGTTGCCAGGAAAAGTCAAGATCCTTCGAGAATCTTGTGACGTGTTACCAGCGTCACGTGACTTCCGCTGTCTTAACAATATGTCTAATACCTCTATCGTTACAATAGTAACAATTAAGCCTACCCTTAAAACTACTTCTATACTCATTTCGTATGTTAAACTTTTCTTTACCTCTTATTCTTCGTGCATTTAGTTTATCCTGGCCCTCAGCACCGTCTAGTCCTTTAAAATTCCTCTTACAGATGAGTTAACGACCCTTGCAAACAAATCAGACTCGATCCACTTTAAATGTAAACCATCCATTCCAAAAAGCTCCCTTCTCCCAATGAACTTATCCCACAAGTCCAAACAGCCTATCTGCTCATATTGAGTGCTAGTCCCCTTTATAGTTTATTATATCTCCTGCTCTGCCAGTTATACCCTCCACATGTGTCCCTGGGTAACATAATCTACTTTTTATCTCCCTATTTACCCCACAGACTATCCTATACACATGCCTTACAGGCCCGTTAACTATAATCTCCTTAAGTTTATCATCCATATCCTTCTCCGTCCCTTTTGTTTTCCTTCCCTCCCATAGTTCCTCATCTACAGAAGCCAAGGGCTGAAATCTGTTGCTTATTAGAATAGGATCATTACAATTAAATTCACTACTTTTAGCCTTAATAATACTCTTTCTAACTTCCTGAAAGCCATTGTTAACTGATGTATTCCTTGCATGTAAAAGCTTAAGCTCCTCCTGAAATCCTGCTGCCATTTTCCACAATCTACACTTCTATTTATCTATTGCCTCTACTTTGATCATGATTGCCTCTAACTTCTCCTCCAACCTACAAACTATACATACAAATTGCACATCTTCATTACTAACTTCCTTAAAAGCACATTCCAACCCTGATAAAACCTATTCATTGCACCCATTACACCTAACAAACTGTCACCATTCAGCCTAAACATAATATTTATAGGCTTCAACCTTAATTAGTTACAGAACTATCAAGTAGAAAATCAGACCCCTCATGTCACGCCCACCTGTTAATCCTCCCTTTCAGAACTTGCCAGTATTTTTTTTCTGACTATTAATCCTATATTATGTATAACCAATAGAAAACCTAAGGTTTTGCAATTGAAAAGGTGTATTATTTTACTTTCCTTTTTTTTTTTCCAGTAAATAATGTGTAGTTTCAGATTTACTTTCCATGGGAAACATATCAAACAGCTTTGCTTATGTTCTCATAACATTTGTGATATAGTTAAAAAGCCAGAAACATTGTGATAGTTATGGGACACATTCTGCATTTTGCATGTTATTATTCTGTGTTCTTTCAAGCATTATCTAATTAAATAAATAATTATTTAGTGCAGTAGTACCAATGGTATATAAAAAAGTAGGGTTGAAGGGAATACCTCTTACTGTAGGATAGGACTTCTAGTAAATGAGAGAAAATTAAATCATCCCACAAAACTAGTGCCCGTGTGAACGTGTTTTCTTGTTATACACATTATATTTGTCTATGTATGTAGGAATAAAGTTTTTGGGGTAGGTGGGGAGCAAATTAGGGGGCAAGTGAAAAATAGGTAGGCAAATGCCCCCTTGTCCCCCTATAGCACCACTACTGTGTAAGTGGTGAATCAGTATCTACTTATGTAGTTGGTAGTAATAGAGTGGTAGAACAATATAAATAAATGTGAACAGTTGTATAGATTATAGCAGTGAATTTTTATCTTGTAATAACTAGAAGTCTGTAGATTTGTTTTGCTATTATAATTTTAATTTTTATAATTGTTTTATAATTTATTTTGTAGAATTACAAAGCATATTTCTTTCATTGTTTCTAGTACTTTGCAAGTGCTCTGGCTTTTCTATTCACTTTGGCTTGGATTGGAAGTTTGGTGGATAATCTGGTGCTGATATTCCTGTTAGGTATGTTGGACAGCAGCCTCTAAATTTTATGTGATCTGTTACTATATAAGTTACATTTTACATTCACTGGTATACAGTTTTATCCAAATAACCTAGTACCATACAAGGATGTAAGTTACAATCTTGTATAAATAACCTAGTAACAGACAAGGATGTGAGGTACAATCTTGTATAAATAACCTAGTACCAGACAAGGATGTAAGTTATAATCTTGTTTAAATAACCTAGTACCAGACAAGGATGTAAGTTACAATCTTGTATAAATAACCTAGTACCATACAAGAATGTAAGTTACAATCTTGTATAAATAACCTAGTACCATACAAGGATGTTATGGTTACAATCTTGTATAAATAACCTAGTACCATACAAGGATGTTATGGTTACAGTCTTGTATAAATAACCTAGTACCATACAAGGATGTTACAGTTACAATCTTGTATAAATAATCTAGTACCAGACAAGGATGTGAGGTACAATCTTTTATAAATAACCTAGTACCAGACTAGGTTATAAATAATGTGTACTGGCTCACATTTGAAGTAATCTTGTTCAGTAATCCTTTTGTTGGTAGAAAACACTGGGTTAAATACTTGTGTTCCAGAAATAACATGGTAAATTTAATTTGCTAGATAGATTAAAATGTTGAAACAAGTTTTTTAATGAGAGAGCTGATGACTAAAATTAAAACACTTTTGTAAGCTGGTAAAGTGATATAGGAAACAAAGTTTTGTTATGAATGTTTTTTTAAGTCTCAACGTAACTTTTTCTCACTGGACTTGTTTTGAAAGTGAAATATATATTGAGAAGAATGATGATGTATAAAAATGTAAATATATTTATTTTTGTCTTCACTATATGGTTTGTTCTTTTTTATAGTACAAACCACGTTGAACAGAATTTTATCTTTTTGATAGCAATGTGCGTGGTGATGTTTCCTGGTTTGAAGTACCATGGAATAATTGATAGGTACGTCACTGAAGGATTGCAGCATCTAAAGATGACAGTCGGGCAGAAGCTGAAAAAGAACTAAGGACTGTTGCTACTCTGATGCAGCAACATAGCATGCTGACAAGAAAAATGGCTTCATACTTTTCTGCAGTAAATATTGTATATGACAAAACATATTGCTAGTACATTTTTTAAATGCAGCAGTTATCCTAAATTATATTCAGATAGAATTGTGATGTAAAAATTAACATTAATCATCATCTTGCACATACGTCAAGCATGATGTAATCTGTTGCACACATTCATCTTTGAAAGATGAGTTGGTCTGGTATCAGCACTAAGAGAAATTGATAGATGCAAATATGATAAATACATTTTTGTCTTATTTAACAAAGTCAAGCATAACAAGTTTATTTCTGTCAAACAAATTGGTCATTCAGCATGCATGCTTTACATAAAGTAATCAATATGCTTATCAGTAACTTCTGATCTTAGCAAACAGCCGACATGTTTTACATAAAGTTATTAATATGCTTATCAGTAATTTCTGATCTTAGCAAACAGCCGACATGTTTTACATAAAGTTATTAATATGCTTATCAGTAACTTCTGATCTTAGTAACCTGCTGACATGTTTTACATAAAGTAATCAATATGCTTATCATTAACTTCTGATCTTAGCAAGCAGCCATCATGTTTTACATAAAGTAATCAATATGCTTATCAGTAACTTCTGATCTTAGTAAACTGCTGACATGTTTTGCATAAAGTTACCAATATGCTTATCAGTAACCTGCCAACATGTTTTGCATAAAGTTATCAATATGCTTATCAGTAACTTCTGATTTTAGTAAGCTGCCAATATGTTTTACATAAAGCTACCAGTATGCTTATCAGTAACTTCTAATCTTAGTAAACTGCTGACATGTTTTACATAAAGTTATTAATATGCTTATCAGTAACTTCTGATCTTAGCAAACAGCCGACATGTTTTACATAAAGTTATTAATATGCTTATCAGTAACTTCTGATTTTAGTAAGCTGCCCACATGTTTTACATAAAGTTATTAATATGCTTATCAGTAACTTCTGATCTTAGTAAGCTGCCCACGTTTTACATAAAGTTATTAATATGCTTATCAGTAACTTCTGATCCTAGTAACCTGCTGACATG